GTTATATATCTATCTAAAACACACATAGGTAGGTACGTGAAATCACCGTTGAGCATTATTAACTGCTGTTCAAAAGATGAATTCACATTAAAACTACTTACTTTACAAGGAGGAGAAGTTGACGGCGACGTAGGCTTAATAATTTAAACAGAAGTTTAAATTCAATCTAACGATTTATATTTTGCAGAAGTAAGCAACCATAAAAAGCTTTTCATGGAAAATTTGAAAGATGTTGAATGAAAGTAATAAGTAAATTTGTTATTTTTTTATTTGTTTCTCCCACGTGTATAGTTAGCATCAAAAGTAGCTAAACAATTCATAATCAAATCTATGCAAGAAAAAATGACTATTTTCAGTTTTATCATACAATAATACTCATATTTTATAATAATACTTATATTTTCAGTTTATACATCAGCGGGAGGTAAGGCACAAGTTTAATGTAGAATTTCGTCATTTATCGATTAAATCTTATGCAAATAAAAATAAACCGACACTCGAACGGAAACAAAATATTAATAACCGTCTCGTTTGTAAGAATTATAACGCAAGTATTCGTGATCGAGATGCAAGAGCTAGGGTTGCGGGCGCGGATTGAACTACGTATGGAGAGAGGTATTTACGTAATAAGTACACAGTAAATACTTCAAAATATAGAAAAAATATTAAATAAAAAGTTATATTTATACTAACTTATATGGAGTTTTTTTATTACGTTAGTATATTTCCTTTATGAAGTTAAAAAATAAATAATTGTTTTATCGTCATTAAAGCTTACCGTATTTGGACTAATTTTAAATACATAAAATATTTTTAACTCGTCATTATGTTGAAATTGCTGAAAAGCTGTAATCTATACTAATATTATAAAGAGGCAAAGTATTTTTGAATCTCAGGAACTGCTAATCCGATTTGAAAAATTATTTTTGCATTAGATAGCCCATTTATTGAGGAAGAGGGAAGTCTCCAATAAATTTAAAAGAAATTGTAATCACATTTGTAGTGATTTAATATCGATATACTTTTTTATATAATAAATCGTTAATTAATCCCTCAACGCGCGACACGCCGGTGTTACAGTTAACAATAGATTTCTTAGAAATTTAAGTATTTCTTAGAAATTTACCTGGAGTTGATAATATTCAAAAAATACGAACCTGTACGTCCTCATGCTACTACCTAAGAGATCGGAGCAGTAATCATAAAGGTCAACAAATCGGACAGACTTCCATACATTATTGTAAAACTATACCTATACATAATTATACAAATATATCTATAGGTACGAACCCGTGAAGCGAGGGGGAGTCGCTGTGTAACATAAAGCCAAAGAGTTTTTTTTGTAGATTGATCGCGAGTGAAGCCGCGGGTTCTGCTAGTCTTGTATAATTGTTGTATGCTATTGCTTCTCATTTAATCTATATTCTGATATAAATAGTGCTAGAAAATCTTTCAATTCTTAAAGGTCTTGAAAATGGTGTTTTCACAGAATGATATCAAATATAATTTGTAATGATGTTATTAAATGAGACAAACTTGAAGTTGCAAATTCCTGTTTATTACTGACTTAATCTAGTTTATACCTACTAGTTATACCTGAGCCACATTACACATTTTTCCTTCGGTTTTTGGTAAATTTCTTACTTCTAAAGTCTTAATCGGTCATTTCGGTAATGTGACCTATATTAAAGTCGATCATATGTAGACAAAGAATTTCGTATGATGTATCTCCCCTAAAATCCCACCAGAGTGTCACCACCATTTATTTACACAAATCTCTATTTTCTGTATCCGGCGGTCGCAGCCCTGCGAGGTAGGTAGCCGCACCAAATGCGCATTGTGTGCGGAGCGTGACTTATGCCCAATTGTTGCAGCAGAGCTCGATACCGCGATATCTTCCTTTACGACCGATTATACTGGACTTTGCGGAATATTCCACCGTCACTGGCGCGTAGAGTTATAGTTTCATTTCGTTTTCATTTCGATGCCTATTTTTATGAGTGTTTAATTCATGAAGTAGGTACCTAATAAACCGTTTATGTACGTAAACCTTTAGTATAGGTACTTCGTATTTAAAAACCAAACCAATTTCAAAACAAATAAGCCTTCATTTATTAGTTCTATATAGTTTATTCTACCCTCATAATTTTAAAGACATTTTGATAAAACTAAAATATCCATAAAATTATTTGGGTATCTACTATTTATTACCTATTGATTTTCAAGGTTCACTATGGTTGTAGCTTAACTGGCGTGTACCATTTTAAAACTTTTTAGGTAACTAGCGACTCTAGGTCTTCAGCTTTGAGAACATCTGTTTTTTATTATCTTCTAAAGTTCAAACTATATACATACGAACAAATTCAATAAAAAAAAATAAGAATTTTTGTCTGTCTGTCTGTTACCGCATCACGCAAAAACCACTGGAGGGATTTTGATGAAATTTGGTATGATGATAGCTGGTTATCCGGGTCAACATACTCGTATAGGATACTTTTTACCGGGAAAATATCTCATTACTGAAAAAAATACAAAGACTATGTAAGAGTATACTAATATGTAAATCCTAAGAATTTGGTTTTTGGTCATTTGAACGCGGGCGGAGCCGCGGGCTATGCTAGTAATAAATACATTTCTTATTTTTTATCTTAAAGCTAAATACCGCTTTGTACGTATATTTCACATTAAGAATGACAGTTTCATACAAACTTTGACCCCCTTTTTCACCCCCTAAGGGGTGGAATTTTTGGAAAATTCTTTCCTATCAGATGCCTACGTCATACAAAGTACACACCCTCCAAGTTTCAGGTCTCTACGATCAGCGGTTTAGGCTGTGCATTGAACCGTCACTCAGTCAGTCATTCAGGACAAAGCATTTTATATTTATCGAAGAAAGAAAATTGCGAGTAGGTAGGTAGTTAGGTACCTACATAGATACATACATACATACGTATGTACCTAAATGTACTAAAACATTTTTTTCACAAGCAATGATTGCTGGAATATAAATTTGATAATTTTACACTAAGCGTTTGGTGTCATTTTATTTTTGCGTTTCAACTCTATGTATGTATCAGCTTAAAGAATAAATATAAATATTTCTATTAATAGATAAACACAGTGTAGCTAAAGATAGAGTTATATTGAATGTCCTCAAATTTGCATGACATGAAAAACATAAGCAAAAACTCGGAACTATTATAATTACTTTCATGTTTATCCTTCAGTGTTCCAAATCAAGTCGGTGCGTTTGAGTCAGGAGCGAGATACGCATCATTTGTAGCGCAGTAATTTGTTGTGCGCCGGCGCAGGCGGCACCACAAAGAACTTTTTGCAAAAAATAACATATTCACAATAATTAACGTGGATTTTGAGACGTTTTACGCGTATCTGACATATTTGGGGTAATTAAAGTCGGCGGCCTGTGTTGTTTTTCCAATGCTACTGAAATTCAGATATAGGCACTTAGGTATTTCAACATGTCTGCAGTTTAGTAAAAACTAAGGTTGAAAAGAAGATTCATACGGTATCTATACTAATATTATAAAGAGGCAGAGTTTGTTTGCTTGAACGCGCTAACCTCAGGAACTACTAATCTGATTTGAAAAAATCTTTTTGCAATTAATGGGCCGTTTATTAAGGAAGGGTATATCTACACTTATAATAAAATTGTATCTAAGTCGAATCTGTACATTAAATATTTTTTGGAAAATCTAATCGAAATAGACATTATTATCGATACAGAGGCCGAATCTATAGTTTTTAGAATTTTTGTCTGTCTGTCTGTCTTTCTGTCTGTCTGTCTGTTTGTTACCGCATCACGAGAAAACCACTAGACAGATTTTGATGGAATTTGGTATGATGATAGCTGGTTATCCGAGTCAACATATAGGATACTTTTTACCGCGGGAAAATATCTCATTTCTGAGAAAAAATACAAAAACTTCATTGTAAGAGTACTATACTAATATGTAAAGTCTAAAAATTTGGTTTTTAGTCATCTGAACGCGGGCGAAGCCGCGGGCAATGCTAGTACCATATAATATATAGCCTATCTATTCCATACTACCTATAGGTATATACCTGGCGACGAACCCGAACGATGCGAGGGAGAATTAATTTTAATGATTATATTTCTGCTTATATTTAAGCATTTGATAATGTTTAACTTTTTCTATTATTTAGCTATTTTTAAATTTATTTATCTAAGGGAAAAGACTTGTCTAATTTAGATAAATTATTAATTTTTATCTTGTACCTACCTGGCTTCTAACTTCAACTTCTTAGTTAGGTATATACCTATTATAATATGTAGGTATATCAGTTAGTCTACTTGCTTGTACAATAAGAATGAAATTGACAAACTATAATTAGCCTATGAGGTTTAAAAGGGCAAAGCTACTATTTATCCAGGTCCATATTATGTACCTCCATGATTTTGTGGGATTCAATTACCTACTTGATAAACGTTGAGATATAATAATAAGAGGGCAAAAATGAGGAAGGAGGAGCAGATACTTTAAATGTGGTAATCTAATAATATTGAGTGAAAATAAATATATAGTATTAGGTAGGTATAGTATGTAAATATCAGCGTTGATTTTACTACAAGTAATTGAAATATAATGTAAGAGTAGGTATAACATTTAAATTCAATCAAAAGTTTCAATCTGAATTCAAACTAATACCTCAGCTAGCTCATAAACCTAACATTAACTGTTAACAAAATTAACAAACGTAAAATATCAATTACAAGGCGTACATAACACTATATAACTCTACTTTTCCCTTCATCAATACTGCCCGAGCGCAGCCGACCGAATGGGAAAACAGACACAGCAGAAACGAATATCAAATTGCAAAATAAACTCTAAACTACAATAAATAAAGTTAAAAATTTGTTATCAAATATAGAGACGCATCAGCACGCTTGAAATAGATGGCGTGACAGAAAAGGAGAGCGTTTGAAATGGGGCGCGGTGATTGGCTGTGACGCGCCAATGGCGGCGGGGGGCGGGGCGAGCGCGCGGGCGGCCGGCGTCGCGGCGCGCGCGCACATGTCTCCCTCGCGCGGCGCACGGCGCACGTGTGGCTTTACCTAGAATACTTATTGCTATAGGTTGCGGATCTACGAGTGATGCTAGGGAGAATTCTTTGACTTCGCGATTTTAATGCTCGGGTTGTGGAATTACTCTAAGATTCTTTGAGAGGTCGTGACTTAATCGGGTAGGATAGTTAAGTGTGCTTTAGTTGAGTTTCCAAAGAAATTGAGGTATACGGCAGAGACGAAAACTAGACAGGTCGTGTTTTAAATAGGATTGTGGTTGCGGTCTGAACATTAGTCGATTTCGAAATTATAGAATCCAATTATTAGGATAATTCCAAAAATAATTAAATCAATTCTAATAAGATTCAGAACTTTGCAATTAAATTGCATCTTTCAAAGGAACAAGGAAAGGAATCTTGGAGTTAGTATACCAGAACCGTGGTATTGGCCCACGGCAGAGAGTGGGTAGTGCGTTGTGGCATGTGAGTGTGGTCGTGATGATGCTGGGCGGCATGGACGGCAAGGAGTACGGGGCGCTGCACGCTGCTGCCGCCGCCGCCGGATACGCCATGGAAGCTGGTAAGTTCCCTACAATTTCCTTTATCATCATCAAGACAATAAACCTAACGGCATTTATGTCTTCTGTTGAAAATAGCCTTTTCCTATACCATCCTACTGAGCTCGACTCTCAGCTCTACGTATCCAACAATGCTGTTGGATGTTGTTATAACAACGAAAAGATGTGTTATTTTTTTATATTTTTAGTAAATTACTACTAAAATCTAGCTAGCACTAAAGCGCAAACATAAATAGATAACTCTCTAATCGTTTCACTATCTAAGTCTGGTGGGATAACAATTCGACACGACCAGCCAGAGATCATGCGCAGGACCGCCGACATAGAGGTGTACACTGTATAAGTACTATACAGTGTACCTACCTGGCATAGGTAGCACCGTCAACTTCCCAATTCCAGACCAAGGTTTTTTTAACAGGATACTATATTTGGCCTTACCTGGGATCTCAGAACCACGGATATGCAGCGGTAGGAACATGCTAGCCACTTTACCAAAAATGGAGTTAAGAGATATTAATAATAAATATAAGAACGAAAGATAAAGCAGTTTCATCAGTAGGTACCTAAGATAGAACGATTTTAACGGACTAAATAGTAATTGAAAAATCTAGTAAATTAATTATATTGCAGTCATTATTACATAGATCAATTGATCATCGATTTAATTTTTAGTAGCGTAGGATGTTTACGGATAGATGAAAAGGTTAGGCTGTTTACTTAAGTCCAGTAAATACATTAAATTCACCAATTCCTACAATTTTTAGGCAACCATATAAACTTCTCTGTTCTTTTAGAGAAGGGGAGCCCAAGAGGGGATTTTGGGATTTACTCAAGGGCGGCAGATTAATGGGGGGATAGTATCGATTGTAAAGTTTATGTACAATTTTAGCCTCTTCGGCTTATGCAAATCGGCAGATTATTAAATTGCACACTTTTCAAGATGTAATTAGCCAACCATACCTTAATCTGGCGGTATTAAGTATTGCTTTCTACCTTATTAAAAATATTTTTTAAATGCTTTGATCGGCTGTCCTAGACGCGCACCCTTATATAGAGGACTTATATTATGTTGGAGGTACTCAACAGAGTGCAAGGTATCCCTACTAATGTTAATCTGCCGCGCTTGAGTAAATCCCAGAATCCCCAATTGGGCCCCCTACTAATAAGATGTCATCATCGAGGTAGTTTTCTGATATTCGTGATATATAGAATGCCCAAAAGTAACGCAAGGTGGTGTAATTTTGATAGAAACTACAGGTTTTTAATTATTTTTTTTTTGATTGAATCAAAGTGCCGCGTACATACATAACTACAGTATAGAATATCAATGTCTGAAATTGTACATATAGTAAATTCTTCCATCTTTCACGATTTTGCTCAAGCACGCGTATTCTCATGTAGAAATTACCAACTACTGTTTTGGATAAATGTGGCTAAATTTTGTTGATACAACGCTCAATTTACTCCGTCAAAACGTGGGTGATCGCGGCGCAAACATTGGATATTAAATAAAATCTTAAGAAAAAAGCTCGATAGCATAAATCATATTATTTATCTCATAATTTTAGGTCACTCTATAATTTGTTTTTTATGACTTGATCCGAAAGTGATATGGTAGTTAAGTGATGTTATATTTTACCTTTTACATAATTCTTAAGCAGACTCTATTCCAGAAGCATGAAAATAAATAGTTTTTGGTTCCCTAAACACAAAAATATCTCATCAGTTAAGTATTGTATATTTATAAAGTTAAGTATTGTGTAATTATTATTTATATGTACCTATATCTATACTTAATATAATAAACAGGTAAAGTTTGTGAGTTTGTGACATTGTAAAAGGTTATCTCTGGATCTACCGAACCGATTTCGATGAAATTTCGTAAGAAGATAGTTTGAGACCCTGGGAGGGGCATTGGATACTTTTTATCTCAGAAATCACCCCTTAAGGGAGTAAAATAGGGGTGAAAGTTTATATTGTGAAGCAAGCTAGGGACGAACCCGAGAGAAGCGAGGGTGAATCGCTAATATCTAATAAGAATAAAATGTACTTATAGAGCTATTATTGGATTAAACAAAATATTGTTTAATTTTTCCGTGACGTGACCTTAACAGAAATTTATCATTTTTAAGGATTTAAATTTTAAATGAACATATATATGCATAATACCTACAAATACAGTCCCAAAATAAACCTGTGCCACAGATCATATAATACTAAACTAGATATGATTGAATTTTATTTTTCTTTAAATTTAATTAATAATTCTTTAAAATTAGAATAAGCACTTTTCTAATTATTATTTTTTGTATTTTGAATTTTAGGTAAACATTAAAAACAAATCAATACATATTACGCCATCTGTTGAAATATTATTTAACTAGTTATTACTTTGTTCATAATGTTAACCCATGCGGCCATGCCTGTGCTAAACTTCTTTAAAATAATGCTAGCAGCGTAGCCGAAAAATGATAATAAAGGAATATAACATTTTATTTATAATACTAGCATTACCCGCGGCTCCGCCCGCGTTTAGGTGACCAAAAACCAAATTCTTAGGTTTTACATATTAGTATACTTTTACATTGCAGTTTTTGTAACTTTTATCTAAAATAAGATATTTTTCCGCGGTAAAAAGTATCCTATAGGTATGTTGACCCGGATAACCAACTATCATCATACTAAATTTCATCAAAATCCCTCCAGTGGGTTTTCCGTGATGCGGTAACAGACAAATAGACAGACAGACAGACAAAAATTCTAAAAACTATAGATTCAGCCTCTGTATCGATAATAAAGTCTATTTCAATAAGATTTTCCAAAAAATATTCAATGTACAGATTCGGCTTAGTTACGATTTTATTATATGTATAGATTAGTAAGTAGGGACTTATTAGAGTAGCATCGATATATATCTTTTGTTTAAGTGTGTTGATTTCAAGAAAAAATCAAAATGTAGTTCTGAATAAGTCACATGTTTTAAGAAATTAAATTAAAAAAGCGTGATGCGTGACAAGCACGAACGACGAAACGAACAAGCAAGCTCACAATGCAAAGCAACATACATAAAAAAATGAAAAGAAATATAAATAAAAATCGCACGTTCTATTTTGCACGCCGTTTATTTTTTTGAAAAAATCTTTTAGGTACCTACTTAGGTACCGACTCAAAAAATCTACGATTTGATTAGGTATAGGTATGTAAGTATAGACGGGATTAAAATATTTCATTGTATGTGTAATGACAAAATAACAGCTTTTTACTAAATACAATAAAAAACAATTTTAAAAATATTTGTCTGTCTGTTTGTTTCGGCTGAACTCCAAAACGGCTGGACCGATTTCGACTTGACTTTCACTGGCAGATAGCTGACGTTATAAGGCGTAGCGTAGGCTGCTTTTATTCAAGAAAAAGGTTTAGGGTTCCGCGCAAAAAAATAAAAACCCAGGAAATTGCGAACAAAATCCGCGCATCTAGGGACGTAAAGTCACTGGTATAGCTATAATAATTTATTTAAATGGACCACACAGCAATCTTAGCAAATCGCGCTTCTTATTCATAAGACAATACTTTTATTAGTAAATTAATTTTGATTAGTAAATTAAATTAATTTTATCAACTAAGTACTATCTGCCCGCGGCTCATCTGTCTCCATCGACGACAAGCCATAAATAATTATAACACGATAATATCTATAGGTATATAGCGTGCACTACGCAATACATACATACATACATAGTTGATTGTAGATGTTAATTATTTAATATTGTTAGTCAATATTATAATTGTAAAAGTAAATTTATTACTTTGGTTTTCACTTTACACTGACGCTTGGACCAGAAAGGATTATGCCCTATTAAAGACTAGCTGGTATCTTTTTGCGATGCTTTACTTGAAACCTTTTTTTTAGTCAATTTATTCGACTTCAATGAAAGTTATTATGTTTTCTGATGATACATATTTTTATCGAAATAAAAAATAGCCTGTTGCACTCGGCAGTAATATAGCTTCCTATTAGAGCTAGAATTTTCAGAATGGGATCAATAGTTTTAGAGATTAGCCCCTTACATATAAACTTACAAACTTTATTTTATAATATTAGTGTAGATATTTTAGTACAGAAGTGATACTTAATGTTTAAAAGCTTTACGTAAATTGGCTTTCACTTTGATCCTTATAAGCGACTTTATCGATTAGTAGCATAGTATCGACTTCATCGGTTCGTGGTATAGTAGGTAGTATAGGATTTTCTTTAAGATATTTAATATTTAAGCTATGTATAAATTAAAATAATTGACTATACCATATAAAAAATCATAAAAAGTCAGAAAAACGTGTAAGCTCTATTCGTTTTTTAAGAATATTAAAAACCACGTATCTGCTTCGTATTATGGACGAATTATCTACCTATAACAATATTATAAATGTGAAAGTTTAGATGTAGAACGGCTAAGCGGCTATTGACGAAATTTGACACAGAGATAGATAATCTATAAAATAAGTATAGAATAGAACATAAGCTACTTTTTATCCCGGATTTTTTTGTCTGTCTGTCTGTCTCTCTGTGACCGCATCACGGAAAAACCAGTGGAGGGAGATTGATGAAATTTGGTATGATGATAGCTGGTTGGGTTTTGGGATAGATTTGTTTTTGTTAACATAATATTTGATAGTTGAAAAGTTGTGTGACAGTTAAATGTTATGTATAATGTTTACATTCTAACAAGTAAAAAACACGTGTAAAATATACCTATTACAGTTTTATCGGCCTTGGGCCAGCCGATAAGAAGGTCGCGGGTCTCGCTCGGGTCGCAACGGGTCGCAACGGGTCGCGACTAAACGTCCATGTTTAGTCAACCATTAAATGACTCCAAAGATGTCAATCTCATAGTTAATATAATGTAAACATACATAAATAACCAATAAACTTTAATGTTTTGTTGTTGAATATAATAAAACATAATATGTAGGTAGGTACCTAGTGATAATGTGAACATTACTA